CAATGGTTTTAACTCATGTCACTCACTTGCTAAATCCAAAGGCAGCGAGGACACCAGTTAAAGCCATTGTGGGCCTTCTCTTTCCAGAGAGTACGCCTGTGCCATTCTCTTCCCCCCGAGGCACGTATCCCCATCCTCTAAGGGACCCCATGAGACTTGCAACGAGGGGAGCAATGGGCAGCAGCAGCTTGTCCCAGACTCAACCCCCGAATCCATCTCTAAGGCCCCCTATTCTCTGACTTCCCAGTGAGCCAGAGCAGCCCGGCCTGGGCTCTCCAGTTGCTTCTCCTATGGGTTTCCTTGTGTCACTACCTAAGTTTACTTTTGCTGTGGTCAATACATTCTTGCTTGTTTTTCTACCAAAAAAAAAAAAAATAGCCATTGTGGAAGTCGGTCATTTAGCAAGGGCGAGGGGCAGCCCCAACACACGGATATTCCTCCTAAGCCTCAGACTCTGCAGCCTCGTCCCCAGGGACCCAGACCCTTGGGTGTGCAAGGGTGCCTAGCAACAGATACCCCAGGGATGGACCAGAACAGGGAGGTACACACAGGAGCATTCGTGGCCCTGGCAGGGCAGGGAGGCCCCGGGCCCCAGGTTCCATGTGGAGGAATTGCGGGGGAGGGGGGGGGGCTGCCCTGATTTGGGAGTGGGCACCTGGCAGGAGAGCTGGCTTTGCTGGACTGTGAAACCTGAACCTCAGGGCCAGGCAGGCTGGCACTGGCAATGGCCGGTGAGCCAGGGCACCGGCGTGTCACAGCTGCCATCTAGTGCCAGCTGTCTCCTTTTGCAAGTTGTTTACGGCTGCTTCCAGCTGGAGGCCTTCTGTGTGCCTGTCAGAGGGAGGCGGCCATTGCCTCTGCCTTCACAGCAGGAAAAACCTCCACATCAGACTTCCTATATCAGCCCTACTTCATTATTATTTTTTAAAAATATATTGTTATTGATTTCAGAGAGAAAGGGAGAGGGGGAGAGAAAAACATCAATGATGAGAATATGGATCAGCTGCCTCCCGCACGCCCCCTACTGGGCATCAAGCCCGCCATCTGGGCATGTGCCCTGACCGGGAATGAACCCAGATTGGCTGGCTTCCTGCTGCTCTTCCCCTCTCCTCCCACCACAAATGTACACGTTTCGCCCTGACCGGTGTGGCTCAGTGGATAGAGCGTCGGCCTGCGGACTGAAGGGTCCTGGGTTCCATTTCGGTCAAGGGCATGTACCTTGGTTGCGGGCACATCCCCAGTGGGGAGTGTGCAGGAGGCAGCTGATCGATGTTTCCCTCTCATCGATGTTTCTAACTCTCTATCCCTCTCCCTTCCTCTCTGTAAAAAATCAATAAAATATATTTTTAAAAATGTACAGGTTTAAAGGGCTCTCGGTGGAGACTTGATGTTCTGAATGTTACAATGACGGAGGGGAGGCGGGGCTGCTACACCTCAGTGCTCAGCCCCTGAGGAAGCCCACGCCCTAATGACAGGGAGACGAAACAGCGGCGTTGAACAGCCACTCCGCTCCCCGAGTACATAACACCCGCTATTAGGGACGCCTGCCTGGCCCGATTGCTCATTGTGAGCCTGGCACCCACCGCTGCGGGAAAGACCCTGTGCGAAGGCAGAAGCAGCCTCCGAGGCGGGCGGAGAGCGGGCTCCTCCACACCGTCCTGGTCTTTCTTTCCTTTTGTCTTCTGACCTCGCTGATCCTGCTCAATTCTCTCAGCGTCTGTGGGACCCCCACAGCCCCTCTCCCTGTCACTCTCCTGGGGGAGCCCTCCCCAGCAGGCCCTGACAGAATTAGCCACTGCTTCCTGAGGGTACCTGTGGCGGCCAGCGGTCAGGATGACCCCGGGGCCCCTGCTTCCCGGGGTACGGGCCCTGATTGAGTCCCTTCCACGCGGAATGAAGCTGACCTGGGTGACCAATAGGAACCTGCAGAGATGGGTATACAGAGAATAAGTCAGGCCATCAGAGACACTGTGGATTCTTTATGTTTCCTCCCGGATCACTGCTCTGTGGAAGGCCGGCTGCCATGTCATCAGGCCACCCGAGCCGTCCTATGGAGAGGCCCCGTGGGGAGGAGCCGACGGAGGCCTCCCGCCATCAGCCAGGGGAGGGGGGGGTTTTGAAAGATGCCCACAGATTCTTCCAGACACCTCCCTGCAGGAGGTGGGCCTCCGTGCCCTCCTCCTCGAGTGTGGAGTGGACTTGTTGATTCACTACAATCGTAAAGAACATCGTTATCACCCAAAACGATCCCCCGTGGCAGGTCCACCAAGCTCAGTGACTAACCACACAGGCTGGTGTGACCCCAAACTCCTAAATGGGCAGGTGATGTGGGTAGTCCTGACCCAGGCCTATAGCTCAGGCCTATAGCTCCCTTACAAGGGTCAGTCTTTACCTTAAGAAAACATTGCCCAGCCCTGGCCGGTTTGGCTCAGTGGATAGAGCGTCCGTCTGTGAACTGAAGGGTCCCAGGTTCGATTCCAGTCAAGGGCACGTGCCCAGGTTGTGGGCTTGATCCCCAGTAGGGGACTTGCAGGAGGCAGCCGATCAATGATTCTCTCTCATCATGGATGTTTCTATCTCTCTCCCTCTTTTTTTTAAAATATATATTTTATTGTACAGAGAGGAAGGGAGAGAGATAGAGAGTCAGAAACATCGATGAGAGAGAAACATCGATCTGCTGTCTCCTGCACATCTCCCACCGGGGATGTGCCCGCAACCCAGGTACATGCCCTTGACCGGAATCGAACCTGGGACCCTTGAGTTCGCAGGCCGATGCTCTATCCACTGAGCCAAACCGGTTTCGGCTATCTCTCTCCCTCTTGCTTCCTCTCTAAAAAGAAAAAAAAAGAAAAAAAAATCACTGCCCAGTGTGTGTGTGTGTGTGTGTGTGTTTAATTTGTTGATTTTAGAGATAAAGAGAGGGAAGGAGAGAGAGAAATGTGATTTGTTCCACTTACTTATGCATTCATTGGTGGATTGCCCTAGGGGCCCTGACCAGGGATTGCACCCCCACCCCTGGCCTATCAGGACAAAGCTCTAATCTGCTGAGCTACTTGGCCAGGGCTCCCTGTCCATTGTTCTCCTGCATCTAAGAAAACACACGTTTGAAATGTCCAAGTACTTTTCTTTTCCAGACTCCTCGAAGGCACAGCCACGGGCACCCGGGCACAGGACCACCAGAGCACGAGACCACAGAACCCCTCACTGTTACCTTGTTCCCCTCATCGTGCCGCCTCTGTGGACTGTAATGTTAACTATTCATTACCCTGTACCACCCATGGGGAAGAAATACGCGTTTCTCCACCTGTGACCCAATCCTGAAGATTTCCCCACTTGGTTTTCTCCCGCCTCCTTAACCTTCCGCCAATGGACGCCATGGGGCTTCTTTAGGTTTTCCCTTCTGATTCACAATGCAGAACTGTCATTCTCTGGAGCGTTTTCTCAGTCTCCTGAGATCTTACTTCTGGGTGTGTCCTCAAAAACTTGGCTCCAATAAACTCTTTTTTTTTTAGAGAGAGAGAGAGGGAAAGACAGAGAAACATCCATGTGAGAGAAACACATCGATTGGTTGCCTCCTGCACACACCCCCGACCAGGGCCCGGGCCAGGGCAGTGCCTGTCCTTGATTGGAATTGAACCCGGGACCCTTTGGTCCACAGGCCAATGCTCTATCCACTGAGCCATACCAGCGAGGACTCCAATAAATTCTTATTAAATTTTTCTCCATAGCTTACATTGACAAGGAGAACTTAGAAATAGTTTAGACATAAGTTTTTCTCTGCAAGTAATGCTTTTATCATTCCAACCTAGGTCAGATAAATGACCAATGCAGGAACAATCTCACTTGTAACATTGAAAGCTTTACATATTTATACACATTGTATTTATTCAAACTGTGCTTACAGGCACTTATTGTGCAGAATAGAAATATCACTCATACCCGTGTTTTAGTTACAATAGGACAACCAGTTACCAGTGTAACAGCCATTGTCTGTCATGAACGCTGATGGGCAAATTTTCTCTGAGCAAAGTGTACAGTTCCTTAAATTATGTTCTCGCTTATGTTTGTTCCTGTTTGTTGAAATGTGATTTTATGTCGAATTCCATATTTTAAAAAATGAACTTGCATTTGTATGTTTTATCACGTCATTTATGAGGAATTGATCTTTACCCTCATTTAGTGAGGTCTATGCCTAATGGATTAGAAGCAGGTCTTGCATCGCGGAGAGGAAGCAGCCCTGGTCTAAATGGGTAGACTGCGCTCCTTGGGGGGCATCTCACTCAAACTGGCCCGACGGTGGGCCTTAAGCAATTATTTATTAAAAGAAGGAATGGCCATAACCGGTTTGGCTCAGTGGATAGAGCCTCGGCCTGCGGACTGTGGGGTCCCGGGTTCGATTCCGGTCAGGGGCATGTGCCTTGGTTGCGGGCACATCCCCAGTAGGGAGTGTGCAGGAGGCAGCTGATCGATGTTTCTCTCTCATCGATGTTTCTAGCTCTCTGTCCCTCCCCCTTCCTCTCTGTAGAAAATCAATAAAATATATTTAAAAAAATGAAGGAATGGATTTTCAACCCCGACTCTGGGTCCAGGGCGTTAATCAGGTGTGTCCTCCAACTCCCCCACGAGTAGACTTGCTGAAGTCTGAAGTCAGCTAAACGCCAGGACCCGTGCAGGACCTCCCACCCGCTCCTCTCCGTTTTCCCTCCCGGGGGAGGCGTGCCCAGCACCTATCTGCATCCTGTGCACTCATTGGTGGAGCCCGACGCCCGTCACTGCCAGGTTCCGCCCTAGCCACGCCCCCACGTCGTTGCAGACCCGAGAGAAGACGTGGTCATTGTCTCGCTGGAGGGTCCGCCCTTCGCGTGGGTTGGTGGGAGCGCGGTCCACAAGCCAGCGCACGCTGCACCCGCCCCGCCCCCTCGCACGTCGGGCCCCGCCCCCAGCACGCAGGCTCCGCCCAACCTCGCGCATGCGCGCGCGCATCCGGCAGTGCCTCAGTCTGGACAGCGGGACCCGGTGGGCGGCGGTCTGGCCGCCGAGGTGCGAAGGGAGGAGCCCGAGTCGCCGCCGCCGCCGCCGCCGGAGAGGACCATGTCTGCGAGTCGAGCCAAGAAAGTGAAGATGGCCACCAAATCGTGCCCAGAGTGCGACCTCCAGGTGGGCGGCGGGCCGGCGGGCGAGGGTCTGTCCTGCGGCCGGCGGCGCAGAAGGGGCGTGGGCTGGTCCCCGGTCGCCCGGCGGTTCCGGTGACAGCGGCGGGCGGGTCTGTGCACTTCAGCCCCTGTGTCCCGACGGGAACGCGCGTGGCCGCCTGGAGGGTGGCTTTGTTCCCATCGGACCCGGGACCCGACTGTTCCCGCCGCGCCCTTGGGTTCCGGGATGCTCAGCGCTCCAGGGCCTCCTGCCACGGCGCCGGTGGAGACACAACGGGGCTCGCGGTGGCGAGAGCGTCGGTGGCCGGGAGGTCCTGTGTCTAGCTCACCGCAGGCCGGCGTCCGGGTGTGCAGGGAACGGCGTGACTATGCTGTGGTTGGGGAAGCGGACCCAGGCTGGTCACCAGCGGGGATGCCGGCCGGGGTCCTGCCACCACCATGTCTCCTAGGAACACAGGTGCCTTTCCACCCTGCAGGCCGGCGGGGCCGGAGCGCTAGGAGCGGGGTAACCAGCTCCTTCTTCGGTCCTTTGGAGGAGTTCTGTTAATCTTTTTGTTTTTAACATGCTTTTTAAAAAGATTTTTATTGATTTCAGATTGGAAGGGAGAGGAAGAGAGAGAGAGAGAAACATCAATGATGAGAGAGAGTCATTGATTGGCTGCCTCCTGCACGCCCCCCACTGGGGATCCAGCCCGCAACCCAGGCCTGTGCCCTTGGCCGGAACCGAACCTGGGACCCTTCAGTCCACAGGCCGACGCTCTATCCATTGAGCCAAACCAGCCAGGGCTTGGCTGCCTCTTGCACGCCCTCTGCTGGGGCTCAAGCCCCAAACCTGGGCATGTGCCCTGACCAGATGGAAGGGTTGACCTCTGGGTGCCTGGGTGGGAGCTCAGTCAGCTGCGCCACACTGGCCTGGCGGGTTCTGTGCCCTTTCTGCTGCCCTCGAGAGCTGCTCTGGTATGTGTCCAAGCGGTTGCTTCCCCTCCCTGCAGAAGCGGGAGGGTCCCCCTGAGACTCGCTGTGGGAACCCAGTTGAACTCCTGGAGGGAAAACTCACAAAAGTGTGGGGAACGTCCTGGGACTGGGTCTCGCTGGAGTTTGAACTCTCAGACTGGTCCACACGGAGCCTGCAGCAGTGTGTCCCTCCTTACAGTTGCGTTTTTCCTGCCTGACTCTGTGAATTTCGCTTTGGTAAGTTGAGAGTCTCTGTCTTCACCCGTCTGTCCAGTTGGAGGGGCCCTGGTTTGCCCGGGGACCCCACTTCTCTCACAGAGCGGAGAAGGGTTGTTGACTTTTCAGTGGTGACTTTCATGCTCCCTCCAAGTGCTCAGCGCTTGGATTGCTGTACCTTTGTAGTAAGTTGTGAAATCAGGAAATGTGAGTCTTCCAACTTTGTTTTTTCTGTTTTAAGACTGTTTTGGCTTTTCAAATCCATGGGAATATTTGAATTCGCTTTTCCATGTCCAGGGTGGGGCGGGGGAAAGGCCATTGGTCTGTTGATAAGTATTGCATTGGATCTGTGTAGATCGATTTGGGAAGTATTAACACTATTGAGTCCTCCAATTCATGAACATTGTTGTCTTTCCATTAATTTAGGTCTCTAATTTTTCAGAAATGATTTATAGGTTTCAGTGTACAAGCTATGCATCTTTTTGGTTAAATTTATTCCTAATTATTTTTTTGATAGTTGTATACATAGAATTATTTTCTTATTCCATTTTTTGGTTTTTTTAAAAATATATATATTTTATTGATTTTTTACAGAGAGGAAGGGAGACGGAGAGGGATAGAGAGTTAGAAACATTGATCAGCTGTCTCCTGCACACTCCTACTGGCGATGTGCCCGCAACCTAGGTACATGCCCTTGACTGGAGTCAAACCTGGGACCTTTCAGTCTGCAGGCCGACGCTCTATCCACTGAGCCAAACTGGTTAGGGCTTAATTTCATTTTTTGTATTGTTTATTGCTAGTGTATAGAAATAACACTGATTTTTGTGTGTCTTGTATCCTGCAACATTGCTGCATTCCTTCATTAGCCCTAATATTGTGTATGTGTTTATTTAGGATTTCTTATATATAAGGTCATGTGACCTGTGAATGGAAATAGATTTACTTCACTTTTTCGATGTGTATGCCTTTAACTTCTTTTTCTTGCCTACTTTCTCTGGCTTTCCATTACAATGTTGAATAGAAGCAGCAGAAGCAGATATGGGTGTCTTGTTCCTGGTATAGGGAAGAAAGGTTTCAATCTTTCCTATTGAGTATGATGTTAGTTGTGGGCTTTTCATAAGTTCATTTTGTCATGTGGAGGAAGTTCCCTTCTGTTTCTCATTGTTCAGTGTTTTATCGTGAAAGGTGAGAGACCTTGTGTCACCCAGGAAATGCCAAGGGACTTAGGGACTTCGCGTCAGGAATTGGGATCAAAGACCACACATTGGACAGAAGAATCTCATAGAACTCCTATGAGATTGCAAGGCTTGTAGGAGCTGCCAGGAACCAGGGGCAGATATGCATATACTAGAGGCCCCGTGCATAAAATTCATGCAGGGGGGGGGGGGGGGGTCCTCAGCCCAGCCTGTGCCCTCTCGCAGTGGGACATCCTTAGCGCTGCCACCACTGTGTTCCCAAGCCGTGAGCCTGGCTTCTGGCTGAGCGCACTGACCACCAGGAGGCAGCTCCTGCGTTGAGCGTCTGCCCCCTGGTGGTAAGTGCACGTCATAGCGACCCATGGTTCCACTGTTTGGTCGATTTGCATATTAGCCTTTTATTATGTAGGATATCCGTGGTTATATGTTTATTAATAGTGTGTGTGTGTGTGTGTGAGTGTGTGTGTGTGTGTGTGTGTGTGTGTGTGTGTTTCTGTCATCCCACAGTGGTGTTTCTCTTTATGTTTTTTCTTTCAACTTGTTAGTGTCTGGCCCTCTTCCCCCTCCTGTTCCAACTTTTAGACTAATTTTCAGTTCTGTTTTATCACCAGTAATCATTTTGTATCCAAGTCTTATTCTTTTCTTCCTTTGAAATGTTTGTTAAATGTATACTTTAAAAAAAAGTACATTCCCCCCCTGCCAGCATAGTAGAGCAGGCCAATAGCCTCTCATCCTGGGATCATGTAATGATTTCCTAAACCAGTTCCTTTCTTCTAGACTAATCCATTTTGTAACTATTCTGACACTGACAGTTTAGGAAATTATTTTTGCCCTTCACATTCAGCATTATTAAACATTTGCTATATTCATGGAACTGTAGAGGACGAGGAGAATAGATGTGATTTTTTGTTGTTAATCCTCACTCGAGGATATTTTTCCATTGATTTTTAGAGAGAGTGGAAAGGAGAGGAGAGACAGACAGAGAGAGAAACATCCATGTGAGAGAGACACATCAAGTGGTTGCCTCCTGCACAGGCCCCTGCCAGGGCTGGAGCCTGAAACCCAAGTATGTGCCCTTGACCGGAATTGAACCTGGGACCCTTCAGTCCACAGGCCAATGCGCTATCCACTGAGCAAAACTGGCTAGGGCTAGATGTGATTCTTATCTCAATTCATATGAGGAGATAGAATTTAAATATAAATGTGATTTCTTCCTTCAAGTTACTTACTGTTTAGTTGCAGAGACCACAGAAGCACTTGAGAAGTCTAATAAATAGTAAAATGTAATATATATTTTCTCTTTTTCCCCTCCAGGTTCCTGTTGCATGTAAATCTTGTCCCTGTGGTTATGTATTTATTAATAGGAATCTCCTAAAAGTAAAACAGTCAGATAAGTCATCACCTTTTACAGGTAATTGCAAGTTTACCATCTTTTCAGCTTTTATGGTTTTTGTTATATAGATTAAAAATTAATTTTTGTTAGTTAATTTTTTTTTCTGCTGCTGAAGTTATAATATTAAAAGTCTATTGATCCCTGGCTGGTGTAGCTCAATTGAGCATCGTCCCGTATACTTTGTGGTCGCCGGTTCTATTCCCAGTCAGGGCAGCCAATCAATGTTTCTCTCTCCCGCTCCCCTCCCCCCTTTTTAAATTGTTGACACTATTACATATGAAACAATTCTTTTTTTCTTTTTTTTTTAATATTCTTTATTGATTTTTAGAGAAAGAGGAAGGGAGACGGAAAGAGAGAGAGAGAAACATCGATTGATTGCTTCCTGTACATTCTCCACTGGGGATGGAGCCTGCAACCCGGGCATGTGCCCTGGCCAGGAATTGAACTGACAGCCTTTCGGTACATGGGACGATGCCCAACCAACTGAGCCCACCGGTCTGGGCTGGAACAGTTCTTCTTTACAGTAGAATTTCAGTTAATAACTGGAAGGATTGCGGGTGAGTTTAGGAAAGGAGTGTTATGGTTGTGTTTTAAACAATGCACTGGGCAATGGACTATAGTGCCATTTAAAACACGTAAAAGACGCGACTGCCGGGGTGGGGTGCAAACTTAGGCAAACGGTTCTTTCACGTCCCTAAAGCGTATTATTTTTACTCGTCTACACCAAAATTAAGTATGAAGCCAAGAGCAGTGAGTTAGAGAGGCTGAAAGAAGATAAAGAGGCCGTGAAGTAGCGGCCATTCAGATCATCTGCACAGGGAAGAGGAAGACCTAAAATACTGTCAGAGCATAAGGAACAGGCATTCATCAGCCCGTCCTGAGAGGATGTTTTCCAAGCATTAGACTGATCTGCGACCCTAATTCGGCAGCACTGAAAAAAACAGAAGGCGTTGAGTTCCTGGATCTCAAAGCACAACTCATATTTTAGTCAAAATAATGTTTTCTATGGTAGATGCTTATAAAATTACTGGCAATTGGGTTCCTGTGAGAAAACGAAAAGGCTGAAACATAACATCCACCTGATAGAAACGGTGATCCAAACTTCCCATCTGAATGAGATTGCTGCTGCTTCCAGCCGCAACGTAACTGATGGCCAAGTAGGTGTCAGGCCTGTTCACTTGTGTTGTTTAGGGTTCATGATGATGGCGTGCTCTGCAGTCTTTGATGGTTGAGCTTTTATTTATTTTCTCCGAAGAAGTGAGCCATACCATGTCTTTGAAAGATTTGCGAATACTTTTCTTATATGAGTTTAAACTGGGACACAGTGCAGCCACGGCCAGCAGAAACATCATCTCTGTCTTCGGAGAAGGCTCTGTGAACGAAAGGACCATCCGGTGGTGGTTTGAGAAGTTCCGTTCCGGGCATCTGAGTCTGAAAAATGAGCCTCGCGGGAGACCCAGGTCAGTCCTAAATGAAGACGAGCTGCGAGCCATGGTGGAAGCGAACCCCAAGAGCGCCATCCGGGGCCTCGCCGCAGACCTAGGCGTTTCTGCTACAACCATTTCTCGACACCTGGCTGCAATGGGAAAGGTGAAAAAGTTGGACAAGTGGGTGACAGCAGCTGATGGGTGATCATGAACAGGTGGTTGGAGAGACGCTCATCCCTTAAGATCTGGAAGAGCAGAGATCTTATGAGAGCGTCCTGAGTGTGACAGAAATGAAATCGAAAGGGATCTGGACAATGGCTGGATGTTGATGAAGTTCCCCAACGAGTTAAAACCATTGTTTAACCAAAAGAGGATCTGGTAACTGTGGGTGGTGTGCACACAGGGTGTTTCAACACTGCGTGTTCACCCGAACTGCTTTCCCTGTGTTAAGCTAGCTCTCATTGCCCAGCAGTGGAACTCACGGACCCCGTCACTCTACAGCACTCTGCGCTGGTCCGCAGACGTGGACCTGTCCTGCCCAGGACAACAGTTGACCACGGACGTCACAGACCGCCGTGGGGAGGTAACTGAATCAGGCAAAGGAATTTAGCGCGTCCATCAGACTCACCTGGCCTTTTAAAACAGATTCCCACCTCCTTTGTCATTTGTAACTAAGACACAGAACATTCTCCGGTTGAGAAGCAGGAATTGAAGGAAGTGAATGTCTTTTAACAAGACTGGATTTTATAAATGTAGTATCTATCATTTGATATTGGGGGAAGTTTATCACTTGGAGAAAGCAGCTCATACTATTAGTGCATATTTTGGTTGAATGAAGCTGTTGTTTTTCTCAAAAAATACAACATTTTCATTTTGACCTGCAAAAGGCAATTGCATGTGGCTCACCCTGATCATTTCCTAGATCCCGGCAGAGCCCGGAGACAGAAAGGCACTCAGGAGCCAAAGCTACAGCTGCTCCTGAGGACCCCATCTTCTTCCCGGGAGGGATGTGGCGCAACCCAGGGAGCGCACATGCTCGCACGTGTGTGTGTGTGTGGGGGGGGGGTGTGTGTGCGTGTGCGTGTGTGTGTGTGTGTGGGGGTGTGTGTGTGTGTGGTGTGCGTGTGTGTGGTGTGTGTGTGTGAAAGATGCTTAGGAGTCGGCCGAGCAGAGACCCCGGTGAAGAGTGCTTCAGCCTCCTTCCCTTCCTTTGACCGCACTGCTTTGCTCCTGGTGTGCTTTCTGTCTGAATGTTTGCTGTTCCTCTTCACCTTATTAACTCTACCCATCATGCACTTTTCCTCCAGGAAGTCTTCCCTGGTCGCCCCACCCCCGCCCCAGGTCAGGTCCCTTTGAGGCCTAAGAATCCCAGTATTGTTCCTGCATAATGTGATCATGGTCATAATATATTTATTTGTGTGATAATGTGTGTCTCTCTGTCTTTTCTGCTAGATTATAAGGTTCAAAACAGCAGCGACTGAGTTTTTGCTTATATGATCATACCCCTGTCAAGGGCACAAGGTCTAGTACAAGCATGTCAAACTCGCGGCCCGCGGGCTACATGCTGCCCACAATGAATATTTTTGCGGCCCAGCCAATATAACGGTCTGTAAGAAACGCTTTAATAAAAATTTTGTAAGTTAATTTTTACAATATCCTGTTATACATAATTAATAATGAGCTACAACTTTCGATAATGACTGATTACTATAATCGTGTTGAATTCATTTCCCTTATGCGCCATTTCTCTCCACTAATACTAGCAGCGAATTTTTTTTTTTAATTCTATTGATTTTTTACAGAGAGGAAGGGAGAGGGATAGAGAGTTAGAAACATCGATGAGAGAGAAACATCAATCAGCTGCCTCCTGCACACCTACTGGGGATGTGCCCGCAACCAAGGTACATACATGCCCTTGACCGGAATCGAACCTGAGACCTTTCAGTCCGCAGGCCGACACTCTATCCACTGAGCCAAACCGGTTAGGGCAGCAGCGAATTTTTTAGCAGCCGATTGCCATGTCATTAGTCTTGGACTGACTTGTTTGGTGTGCACAACGGGAAATATTTCACTTTTGGAGAACAAGAAAAATAGGTTTATTTGCATTATGCTTATTAATTTGTGCAGTTATTCATTGTCTGGTAAGTTAATGTTCAAGAAAAGTATTAATTTTTATTAAAATGTTCTATTATATTACCGATGACTTATTTATTTCAGCCCTTTGTATTCAACATGTCTCTATTGAAATAAACCTATGTTTCTATGAAAATTGAAGCTTTTGTTTTTTTGCGGCCCACAGAAACTTAAACCTGGTTTATTTGGCCCGTGTTAGCCTTTGAATTTGACATACTTGGTCTAGTACATAGTAGACACCTATTAATGTTTGTTCAACGAATAAATAAATGCGAGGGCCAGTTTCATCCACTTTGTAGAAAATTTGACAGCAAGTAATTAAAAACCAAATGAACAGTCGTTTAAATAAGTAGGTTTTGTTTTCTCTAACTGATGAAAATGTTCAAACATATAAAATACTTGAATTTTACAGTGATCCTGTGTAGCCTTTTATGAATAAAGCTGTTATGAATATTCTTGCAGAGTCTTTTTGTGGACATATGTTTACATTTCTCTTGGATAAACACTTAAAATTGGAGAACCTGAGTCATAGGCTATGTGTATATTTCATTTTCCCAAAATGATTACACCATTTTGTACTCCCTCTCACTAATACTTGATGTTATTAGTATTTAAAAAAATTTTTTAAATCCTCACCTCAGGATATTTATTTCCATTGATTTTTTTAAAGATATATTTTATTGATATTTTACAGAGAGGAAGGGAAAGGGTTAGAGAGTTAGAAACACTGATGAGAGAGAAACATCTATCAGCTGCCTCCTGTACACTCCCTACTGGGGATGTGCCCGCAACCAAGGTAACATGCCCTTGACCGGAATCGAACCCGGGACCCTTGAGTCTGCAGGCCGACGCTCCGTCCACTGAGCCAAACCAGTTAGGGTTCCATTGATTTTTTTTTAAGAGAGAGTGTAAGGGAGAGGAAGAGAGAGAGAGAGAAACATCATGTGAGAGAGAGACATCCTGGGTGTGGGCTGTGTCTTATTTTGAGCTATTTTCCCCTAGGGATGCAGGCCATCATTGGGGTAGCTATGCAACAATGCTGTTGGGGGCCAGGCACTTTCTAGCTTTCTGCTCATCCTTAGTGGGTTGAGGAGGATCCCATGCAGGCCTCCTCGGGAGGCAGCCTCTGAGATGCTCTTAGTGATCCCTACATCTTGCCATTCTTGTCCTTACGTATTACCCTGTCATCCAGCGTGGGCTGGACTTAGTGACTTGCTTCTGCTAGAATTCAGCAGAAGTGATGGGCTGCCATTTTGGAGATGTAAGTTATAAAAAGCAGGCGGCTTCTGCCACGCGTGTTCTTCCTGGCTCTATCTCAGCTTGCTCACTCAGGGCGGGAGCCAGCTGCCATGCTGTGAGGCAGCTCAGTGAAGAGCCTTTGATGAGGGACAGGGGGCAACAATCCAGTGAGTGAGCTTGGGAGTGGACCTCCCCCGAGTTGAGCATTCAGATGAGGTTGCACAACCACACCTGGGTTTCTGACCCACAGACATTGAGAGAATATTTAAAATATATATATTGTTACTGATTTCAGAGAGGAAGGGAGAGGGAGAGGGAGAAACTTCAATGATGAGAGAGAACCCCGAGTCCTTTTTAAGCCCAACTCCTTCCCAGGGTGACGAAGACCCTGCATAGCTGAATATGGCCCACCTCCCCTGGACTCTGCCCTGCACGGGGCGTACCCTCAACACGACACTCCCCTTGCTTACACTGCCCCACCCTCCCGGGGGCCGTCACCGTTCACAGGTGTTCACCTTTGACCGGGCAGCTCCACCTCGCATCCTTAGGGACTCCGCTCTGGAGACAACGCTTCAGAAAGCCTGCGAGGACCACCAACTCCCTCAACAGCGGGCCGGGGCCGCCTCAGTAGCTGTGTGCAAATCCTTATCCCTTTTTTTGCGGGGGGGTGGGGAGCCTAAATTTTTAGCTTGATCTAGTGGAAAGTTAAAATAATACAATAGGACATGGAATGAAAAACAAGTCTTCCTCCTACCCTGCCGTGCTCTGTACCTGATTTTTCAGTGCACTATTCATACAGCTCGAGCTCGTCCTTCTGAGGGGCTGCACTGCCATTGCTTCATGCACGCCTTAATCTGCTCAGGCCATTTGGCGGGGCTCCCTGGGCTGTTTCTGGTTTTGCTCTGACGAGCGGTGCTGTCAAGTGCAACACCTTTGCGCAAGTGGGTTTGGGTGGGGAATGTCTTTCCTTCATTCAGATTCTTAGGGATGGGATTGCTAGATCGGAGGCTCAGTGGCTTTCGGCCGCTTTACTCTTCCCATCGACCACCCTCTCCTCTGGTGTCGAGTGTTAGGTCTGTTAGGTCGGCTGCACTGGACGGGGTGATCGTGAGGGCAGCGCTTCCCAGGATTCCCATTTGCGTGGCGGATTGGTCCTCAATAAATACTTGACGACGAATATTGTATCTCGCGGCGCCGACTCCACGGCCTGGCATACAGTAGACTCATCAGATGTCTGATTAGACTTACTAACAGTTACTAAACTTCACGCCATAACGGGTGGCGACTGACCTCCCACCCGCTCCTCACACTCCCTCTCTCCCTCCTTCCGGGGCGAGGCGTGGCCAGCACCTATTGGTATGTATTCTGTGCACTCATTGGTCGAGCCAGATGCCAGTCATTGTCAGATCCCGTCCGAGCCACGCCCCCACGCTGTTCCCCTAACCGAGAGAAGGCGTGGCCATAGTCTCGCGGGATGGTCCGCCCGCCTACCTCTGGTGAGAAGCCCGACGCGCTTGAGGGCCGGCGTGAGTGGGTAGAAGCGCGGTCCCAAGTCCCACGGAGCTGGCGCACGCCACGTCGCGCCACGCCTCCTTGCAGCCGCGCCCCCTCGCATGCAGGCTCCGCCCCTAGCACAAGGCTCCACCCCCTCGCACGCCACGTCGCGCCACGCCCCTTTGCAGCCGCGCCCCCTCGTACGCAGGCTCCGCCCCCTTGTGCGCCGCGCCCCCTCGCACGCAGGCTCCGCCCAACCTCGCGCACGCGCGCGCGCACCGGGCAGCGCCTCAGTCTGGGCAGCGGGACCCGGCGGGCGGAGGCTGGGCCTGTGAGGTGCG